AGGTAAGTAGGGAGGTAGATAGGTAGGTAGGTATGTATATATAACTATGCGCGTGTAGATACGCACGTGTATACAATCATGCAGGCTTCTGTTTGGCTTGCTTGTTCGCAACGTCAACGGAAGGATCCTACGATCTACAGGGTGCTTGTCACTTTCCCAAGCTCCCCTGTTGGGTTTTGGGGTTTAGGATGTAGGAATTAGGGTTTAGCAGGCGGGCGTGCTGCAGCATCGGACTGCTTTCACTTGTGTGCGGTACAGGCAGGAAGGGTATAGAGCGGAAAAGAAATCGAACACTCAGACTCGACTGTTTCTTTGAGCTGGAAGACGATATGCAGTATGGCTCTATTGAAAAATACCCCACATGAACACAGCCCAACTGGACCCTCGCCGACATTCCTAATTTACAAGGAGCCCGCTCTACACTCACCGAAGACACGTATATAGAAGCGACTTTACAATACTACACGGACAGAGACAGGCGATGCATAATGCCAACCACACAAATTCAAATGGCAGTTTCCGAGAATTAGGGGTGCCTTATTCTGGGGTCCTTATAATAAGGATGTTACTATTTAGGTACTATATTGGGGTCCCCGATTTTCGGAAACTCCCAAATACTGACACAACAAGTGCCGACAACGAACAGCACTGCCAAGTTGTGTGATACCCGTGGCTGAAAGGTCGGCAAACTCAGGAGAACGGCATACAGTTCTGAAGATCGTCGGAGGCTGACCGTAAACATGAGATCCTGAACCCGAAATTCCTGACACACCAAAAAGTACGAGACCGTACTTGTGGTCTCCATTGTAGCTCCTTTTCAGGTAGCCGGTCACCCAAACACACTCCGGCGACAAGAAGCCTGGGCCCTGTGAAGCCCTCACCACCTCAACCGTGAAATCCCTGAACCCTCAAACCCTAAGGTAGAAGCCAGAAAGTTGGAATATGATTATCCTAATCCTTCTATGGTAAATTATAGGGTATCCTACCATGAAACCATATTCCAACTTTCTGGAGTTTCCTATGATCAAGAAAGACCCAGAACTCCAAACCGAAAGCCTCAAACACTAAACCCCAAATCCCAGACCGTAAATCTTATAAGCCTTACACTTACACCCTGAAGCTGAAACCCTAAACCCTAAACCCCCATAGTCGGGTCACCCTTCTAAACCCCGTCTCCCACGAACCCCAAACCCCTATACATTCTATAAACCCAAACCGAAAGCCTCCACCCTAACCCCTAAACCCCTAAACCCTAAAGCCCTAAACCCTAAACCCTAAAGCCCTAAACCCCTAAGCCCCTAAACCCTAATACCCATAATAAGGAATATACCAATATAATTCCTATAGTCTAGAGTCCTTAAGGTAATGCAGGATTTATATCATCAACCGTATTCTATAAACCCTAACAGATTGCCTCGACGGATCGATCTTGGCCGCGGTCGGCTCGGATTCGTCCCCGCTGCTCTTCGGGACCTCCTCGCCCTCGGCCTGACGAGGTTACTCGAAGGCAGGGGCCTTACAGTAAAAGCCCAAGAGTTGGAAACCCCATAGCCTCAATCCTTAAGGGAATCCCAGCACTATTTGGCCTTAATCCGGCTTCCAACTTTCTGGGGTTTATCATAATAATTAGAATAAGGGTTTGGGGGCGCATTATTACTAGAATGAGGCCCTGACGGATTTTCGGGTTATCTGGTTGAGAATAGAATGGGATTGTAGAGGGATTTCATATCCCAAAGAGGTTAAAGGTTACCTGCTCTACTGCTACTATAGGCTTTGTGGAGGGACGGCCTGACAGATCTCCCTAAGGGCCTTTAAATAGAGCGTCATACTGTTGATGGACAAAATCCTGCAGTACCCATTCTAATGAATATACCATAGTTCCCATAGTTTAGAGTCCTTAGGGTCATGCAGGATTTTGTCCATCAGCCGTAACTTGGAGGTTCAGGCGTAGTTATAAGTGGGGCTATAAGTCCCCTACTATGGGCTATAGGTATAGTTACCCTACTTTTAACCCTACGTATAAGTACCCATGAACCTCCAAGTACGGTCCTTCATGGCGGGTATTTGGGGGATATTAGAGGGTACTTGGGGGGTCTAGGTATAGGCTTCTCTGGAGCTCGGGGTTTGGGTTTTTTTGGGGTTTTGGGGGTTTTCGGGTTTTCGGATTTTGGGGTTTAGGGTTTAGGGGCTGCTGGGTTATGCTGCGTTTTGGGGTTTTGGGTGTGGGTTTAAGGTTTTCGGGTAGGGGGGTTTGGGTTCGGGTTTAGAGCTTTGGGTTTTCGGTTCGGGCTTGGGGTTCAGGGTTTGAGGTTCAGGGCTTGGGGCTTTAGAGTTTCGGCCGGACAGGGCTACTGTTTAGGTACTGCCCCCATACAGTAAGAGTAAGGTCCTAATACATCGATACTATGAATATTGATCAACTATAACTGAGTGGGGGCCGTACCCAAGCTACTGTAATGATCACATGAAGTAGAGCTACGAGGATCACTTTATTTGGAGTTACTCGGTTACGCGAAGCAGGGCTACTGTACGGGTGCGGGCGCACGGGGCGGCGCATTGCTTTCGTACAGAAAATTTGCGCGACAGAGTCTTGGCACGATTTCGGCCAAAAAAACAAGTTTGCGGACATACTGCAAGGGCTACTACAAGCGCTACTGTAAGGGTTACTATAACAGACTATGTTAAGAGTTGCTTGAAGGGCGTACATTAGGGGTAATTCTAGCAAGGTTGACGACATTTCGAGCTACTATACGGTTTACCCGGTTACTTTGAAGAGGTTACCATGCGTGTGGTACTTTAGCTCGGCCCGAAAGGCTTATTTAGAGGCCGGGACAGCTAGAATAGGGTTTAGGGTTTATGCTTTAGCGTTTAGGGTGTAGGGGTTTAGGGTTTAGGTGCTACACCCGAAGAGCTGAGACGTCTGCACCCTAGAACCCTAAATCCCTGAATGCCTGATCTCCCAACCACATAAATACACCCTAAGATCCTACCACGCCCTGCAAACCCGAAATCGCCTAATACACCCTCAACCCCAAAATCCCCTGACCGAACATTCGTATCATAAACATCTACCATACTGGACTTACTGCCCTTGCCCCACACCCCCCGAACCGAACCCTTTCGTCTACCCTTCCAAATTCTAAATCCTGCACCCTACGACCCTAAAGCCTAAACCCCTTAAACCCCAAACAAACTCATTGAACCACCCCCTTCCTTTTGTCCCAGCCCTGGCCTGTCTCCGTTGCATCACCTGGTATGTAGCTCTTCGGTCTTTAGAACTCTAGTTTAAGGGCTTCGCCATTTTTGAGGCTGAAGCTGTTCGAGCTTGAGGGCTTTGGTGTTGATGTGGTTTCACTAGACCCAAGAGTAACCTAGGAATAAAAAGGGTGCCCTTTTTGGTTTAAAGGGGCTTATAAGGGAACCTGAACCCTAAAAAAGGGAATAAGGGCCTAATCCCTTCCCCTTAATATTAAAGGGTCGGGGCCCCCCCCCCCCCTTCGCCCTAAATAAAAACTCGAAAATGTTTTTATAATTAGGGGGGGTTGTTATCTCAATTCCTAGAAACACAGGTTCTACAAGTAATTAAATGATGAAAATGATGACGATGAAAATGATGATGACGATTACGGTGATGCTTGTTATGATGAAGATGGCGGTAGTGGTGGTGATGGTAATGATGACGATGATCATATGATGATGATGAAGAACATGATGATGATGTTGTTGTTGATGATAGCAATGCTTCATGGTTGCACAAGTGCAGAAGAGCACATGTGGTGAATGCCAGAAGCTTGGAAATAACATGATAATTAATCAAATATGATAGGAACTGATTAATTAATTAATGATGTTCCAAGATTCTGGCATTCGCTGCAAGTGCTTTGCTTCTGAAAGCTGTCAACAATCTGCCCGCTCCGCCACAGACAGGCAGCCTCAAGAAGAGGCCTTTGGGCCTCGCTTCAACAGGCTGTCACACACACACACACACTCACACTCACACTCAGACAGACCAACCGGAGCACTCAAACACAGACACCACTCACACACACTCACTGAGGAGGCAGACAGACAGCTGGAAGTGCTTCTTCGCTTCGCCGCCATGGGCGGCTGAGTGCCGCCATGGGCGGCGAGGAAGCCCACGACAAGGCGGGATCTTTTCTAAGACGGGCGTTAGTAATCCTTCAGACACAAAAATGACGGGCCAGGGAATCGAACCTCGGCACTATCCATTAAGAGTGTAGCACTACCCCCTCGGCTATCCTGTAGCATATCGAAGTAGTGCAATTCTGACCCCTAGCAGATTATCACGACCACGATTCGCGGGCGCAAGGCCGAATGCAGTAATTACTGATAGCAAAGAACAGAGGATTGTAGTACAAGCTTAGTACTGGAAGAGCCTCGTCTCGGATGCTGTCGGGATGATGTCGGTGCTAGAAGTGACTCCTGTCCGATGCTGGCTGGATGGTGCTCAATTGTAGTACAAGCTTAGTACTGGAAGAGCCTCGTCTCGGATGCTGTCGGGATGATGTCGGTGCTAGAAGTGTCTCCTGTCCGATGCTGGCTGGATGGTGCTCAATTGTAGTACAAGCTTAGGACTGGAAGAGCCTCGTCTCGGATGCTGTCGGGATGATGTCGGTGCTAGAAGTGTCTCCTGTCCGATGCTGGCTGGATGGTGCTCAATTGTAGTACAAGCTTAGTACTGGAAGTGCCTCTTTTCGGATGCTGTTTGGATGATGTCAGTGCTGGAAGTGTCTCCTGGCTGGATGGTGCTCAATTGTAGTACAAGCTTAGTACTGGAAGTGCCTCGTTTCGGATGCTGTTTGGATGATGCTATTTATTGGTAATTACAAGCTCAGTGCTAGAAGTGTCTCCTGTCCGATGCTGGCTGGATGGTGCTCAATTGTAGTACAAGCTTAGTACTGGAAGTGCCTCGTTTCGGATGCTGTCTGGGAGGTGCTGGCATGTTTCTTCTGATTGTTTCTTTTTTTCCAAACGTGCAGGCCAAGCTGCGAGCCGCTTTGGAGAATGCTTTGGCCGAGCTAGACAAGGCGCAGGGGTGCTGATGAATGAACTGACCGAATTGCTCTAAACATCAGGACGACGAGAGGGAAGCCAAAAGAAGGAAGACAGCCAAGACAGTAGAGTTAGTTGACTTGACCACGGAAGAACCACAGGCAGTGGTTTGCAGGCAGAGCAGCCAAGACAGCCTAGACAGCAGCCAGACAGCTAGAGGAGTCAAGAGGCAGGCTAGCTTTCACACACCTTCGCCGAAGAAGCGTCTGTTCAGTCCTGACAGCAAGGGTAGAGACAGCCAGAGCCCAGGCAGCCAGAGCCCGGGCAGCCAGAGCCCAAGCAGCCAGAGCCCAGACAGCAACCCTGTGCAAAAGAGAAAGATAGAACAGCTCAAAAAGACCTTAGGCCAAGGCAGTCCAGTCTACTACCGGCTAGACTACCTTTGGGGCAAGGCAGCAGAGGCAGAGGCCAAGCCCGGCCTTTCGCCAGACACAGCTAGTGACAGACAGAAACAGCAGCAAGCTGAGAACATGCAAAACCTGCAGCAGAAAGCCAGCCAAGCAGTGGAAAAGCTCGAACTGGAGCCAGCTCTTGGAGTTCTTAAAAAGAGACGGGGAGGCAGACCGCTAGGCAGTAAGCAGAAGACGAAAGCGGTGCCGCATCTTCGCAAGAAACGATGTGATGTGACAGCCAGAGGCAAGCTTTCCATGATGGAAGAGCTAGACAGAGCAGCTGTAACTCACAAAAGCAAAACTGCAGCCAGGCAGCATGTCATGAGGCAGTATGGTGTGAGCAATTCTTTTTGCTTCAACCTGCAAAAAGACTATCACAGACAGAAAGTCACCAACTTTCTCGCCAGCACGGGGCGAGGACACAGTGCCAGACAGGCAGGCAGCCATTTGGGTCTCGTGCACCTCGTCAGCAAGTCAAATGGCCGAAGACTGCCTGACCCAGGCAAAGTGCTGGGTAGGCCAGACTTTCTCCTGCCAGTCTGGTCTGAGACCCGTGCTTGGGCCTTGAATGAGGAAGCCAGCCAGCACGTCCTGACGAACGAAGACGTGCTGATGGACTTCCAAGAAAGGCTCGACAAAGCCATTGCAGTCAGGCAGGCAGAAAAGGAAAAGGGTCTTCTTGACCAGACAGGTGAGAAGGAGCTGGCAGCCATGACGCAAAAGAAAGCCACGCTAGCCAGCAAGCCAAAGCAGAGGAGCAAGTACCAGATCCTGCTCCTGGCAAAGTGCGGTCTTCGAAACAGATCCTGCCAACAGACAGCCAACCTGAGCAAGGAGGATGAGAAAGCCAGGCTAGACTTGTCCTGGCGACTCTGGGACTTGCTTTTGGAACAGGCAGCCAGCAAGACACCACAGCCAGACTTGCCTGTAGCAAGCCCAGAGCAGTGGACGACAAAGCGAGCAGAGACAGCCATCACCATGTCAGACCAAGTACCTGCTTGGCTCAAGCCAACGCCAGGGAAGGCGTTGACATCGGTGGTGCGCTTGAAGCTAGCCAGCGAGCAAAGCAAGGCCAGGCGAGAGAACAGGAAAGCCAGACAAACACAGCCAAAGGCCAAACCTGAGGCCAAAGCCAAGGCCGCACCTTGGCGGTTTTGTTGGGTGGATTCGAAGTGGACTTTCGGGTTTAGGGTTTCCTTAAACCCCAAACCCAAAAGCCAAAGCCTAAACATTCATGCACCTTCATGCTTTCGAAACCAACCGAGGCACCGAGGCTGGCATGTGCTTCTCAGCCCCAGGTGTGGCAGCAAGGTGGCGAGTCAGCTTGGTAGCTAGACAGGCAGCGCAGAACTTCTTTGCGCCAGACAGACAGCCAGTGGGTGTCGTTATGCCCACGATACTTGTCACATACGGCAAACACTGCAGACTTGAAAACATCAGCCAGGAAGGCACGTGGATCAAGTCCGAGTGCTTCCAGGTAGGCAGCCAGACAGTCAGGAGAAGGGCAGGCCAGCGAGTGCCAGGACAGGTCATGCGCACTTGGCGCAAACTGCGACAGACCCAGCCACACCTGTTTGATGGCAGTGTCAGGGTGTGGTGCCAGCCAGCCGCAGTGGTAGATAGCGTGATTTACAGATGGCAGCTAGAGCTCGAGTCAGAAGAGCACAGCCAGGCAGTGCAGCTCGTCGACATGTTCGGCGGAGCATGGACGACGGAGTCCATGCACGCCGCTGCACTCCTGCAGCGAGCTCAGACAGGCATTGCAGCCGGGTGCACCGGCTTGACCCAGGTGACAGACATCGGGTTCGCCCAGCCAGCCAAGGCAGCTCTCAAAAGGTGGCAGGAAGACTTGAAGCAGCGCATGCGAGAGAAAGCCAGACAGCAAAAGGTGCAGTGCACCTATAAGACAGGCCCGGCAGACATTCTGGAGGCAGCTAGACAGATGCACGCCAGGATGGTGCAGTTGAATGAGACAGAGAAGACAGTCCTTCGCTGCATGCGGCAGGGAGGCTGGTTCCACTTCCGTCCAGACAGTGAAGGCAGGCTTCAGGACTGTGGCAGCCAGGAATGGTGTCTGGACTTCCCTGAAGGCAATGCCAAGCTAGGCAGCGACCACCTCAGAGACAGGTCTCGTTGGGTGGACAAGACAGGCAAGGTGCTTCCGTGGACAGAGGCAGACAGCAAGACATTTGATGAATCCAATGCATTCGAACCCGAGTCTACGTACCTGCTTGGCCAGACAGACATACACTTGAGCTTCCGAGCGAAGCCCAATCTCCTTGCTCAGTCAGAAAGAGAGCTCAGAGAGGTCATTCTGAGACAGGTCCACCCGAACGAGAGGAGACGGCTTTTCCAGGAACAGGTGGACCAGACAACCAGCCAGACAAAGACAGACAGGCAGCAGAGAAAGGAAAAAAGGATCAAGAACGCGAAGCAAGACAGAAAGAGGCGCAAACTTTTGAAAGAATGGAGACAGCAGCAAGCCAGCAAGACAAAGAAGCAGGCTCTGCAGTCTGTCGTGCCCAAAGTGGGCCAGAAAAAGAAGAAGAAGGCAGACAGAAAGAAGCCCAGCCAGGTCAAGAAGCAGCAAAAGAAAGACCAGGCGAAGAAGGCTCAAAGACGGGCAGCCGAGCCAGGCAGTGAGGGACACTTGCATGGCAAGCAAGCTCGAGTGATCGGTGACCTGGCTCCGCTGCTGGGCAAGATCGTGGTGTGTGGAAAGCAGACAGACAGCCAAGTCCTGATCAATGCTGATGGAGTTCATGAATGGGTCAGCCACACAGACATTACGCTGGACGTCAGAGACAGACAGTTTCCGCTGGTTTTGGATTTGGAGTCTTTCCCCAGTGCTGCAGCCAGCGAGGAAGCGGCAGCCAGTGCAAAAGATTTGCGGCTTTACAAGCACGAAGACCTGCTGACAGACAGCCAGCTCGAAGCTGGCATCAGGGAGATGGCATACCGACTCTCCCATGGAGCAGAGCCAGCCAGCCTGTGTGTTTTGCGGCCAGCAGAGGCCAAGCAACTTATCCAGACACATACACTCAAGGCAGCAGCAAAGACAGCTATGGACAGCCAGGCTGGTTTGGTCTTGGCAGTCGTGCAAAGCCAGCCTCCGAGACACTGGTCCTTGCTGGTGGTCGAGACAGTCAGAGACAGCCCCGAAGCGAAGGTCAGGTACTATGACACGTTGCCCGGTGAGGCAGCCTACAAGGAAGCCAGTGCAGTTTTGAAGGTGCTGCTGCAGACAGCCAAGAAACAGGCCCAGCCTTTGCCTGCGCCAGTCAGTCTGCTCAGACAGACAGACGGCTTCTCGTGCGGCCTCTGGGTCTTGCTGTATATGGAGCAGGAGTGGCGGCGGTGGATGGGTGAGGCCCCGCAGCCACTTGTGAAAGACCTGCCAGCCAGAAGCAGCCAGCTGAACCGCTGGATTCAGCTGCTGCTGCGAGGCAAAGAGCTAGCCAGACAGAAAGAGAGGCAGCAGCAAGACAGCCAGACAGCAGGAGACACCATCGTTTTTGGCTGTGCCCACTGCAGTTTTGCTCTGAGTGGCTGCCTTCGCTGCAACAGAACGCAGTTTTTGAAGTATATGAGTAACCAGGCACAAAAAAAGGCAGAGGAGGCAGCAAAGGCACCCGAGGCCCAGGCCAAGACCAAGGCCAAGGCCAAAGCAAAGGTGAAGGCTCTTGGAAAGCCAGGCAGCTCAGGAGCCATCTCGTGCACAACTAATTAAATAATGAATTACATCTCGAGTTTTACATTAATTAATTACAGTAATTACTTCTTCGTACAGGATGTGCCTCGCTTCGCATGCTGGCTGGATTGTGCCAAATCGTAGTACAAGCTTAGTACTGGATGTGCCTCGCTTCGCATGCTGGCTGGATTGTGCCACATCGGAGTACAAGCTTAGTATTGGATGTGCCTCGCTTCGCATGCTGGCTGGATTGTGCCAAATGGTAGTACAAGCTTAGTACTGGATGTGCCTCGCTTCGCATGCTGGCTGGATTGTGCCAAATAACACCTCCACAACACCTCCACAACACCTCCACAACACTTCCACAATACCTCCACAACACTTCCACAACACCTCCACAACACCTCCACAACACCTCCACAACAACTCCACAACACCTCCACAACACTTCCACAACACTCCACACAACACTTCCACAATGCCTCCACAACACTTCCACAACACCTCCATAACACCTCCACAACACCTCCACAACACTTCCACAATACCTCCACAACACTTCCACAACACCTCCACAACACCTCCACAACACCTCCACAACACCTCCACAACACCTCCACAACACCTCCACAACACCTCCACAACAAACACCTCCACAACACTTCCACAACACCTACCACAACACCCAAATCAGCAATGAGCTTGTCTGCAGCACTCTCGACGCAGAGTGCCCAGGGCTTTTGGTCACCCAAAGTCTCGGTGCTCAAAGCTTTTGGTCACACAAAGTCTCGATTCCAGGCGGGGAAAGAGCTTAAATGACGAGGCCGGGGATTGAACCGCGGACCTAGTCCAATGGGAGTCGTCCGCCCACCCCTTAGGCTATCAGAGGATTGGAACGGAGAGGGCGATGGACCATCTTCAGTCACGGAGAGATCACAATTGTCGCAGCCCGGTGGGGTCTCCGGTGAGTGTTCCGAGTCGCCACCCCCTTTTGCTGAGCCTCCCAGTGCCGATGCCCAGAAATTCTGGGAATTGCCATGTGTAAGGTCGGTCGCCAAAAACCTTGCCGGCAGGGTTTTCATGGTCTAGTGGTTAACGTCGTGCCTGCCAGGAGCTGGAAGGCTGCCCGACAGATCCTGGGCAGCATGGACGAGCGACAAGGGCATCTTCGGAAATAGGGTGGATTGTGCTTTGGAGTAATTATTGGAGGTGCTTTCCGAAGGATGCTGCATGGACTCTAGAATCATACACTGAACAGAGGACCCCATGGTCTAATGGATAAGGCGCTCTGTGGGTAAACCACGGAAAGATGGGTGGTTCAAGTCCCCCTGGGGTTGTTCTCATGCCAAGTCGCAGTACAAGCTTAATTAGTACTGGAACCGCATCCTTCCCAACACTGTGCGGCAGGGTCCCGGTAGCGTAGTGGTTAGTACATCCTCCCTTGACCCTACCAAGCAGGGAGTCCCCAGCGGGCCACTAAGAGGCCAACGCGGCCGGGCCATTTCTGACCATTGGAGGTGTTAGCCGCTGCTCTTTGTAGTTTTATTGTAGGCTAAAGTTCAGGGCTGTAGGCAACCCTAAGCCCTTGCTTGGAAGCTTGTCCTGGCTGACTGGAAGCTGCCTTGAAGTGGACTCTGTTCTGAAGAAGCTGCCCATGGAGAACGACCTGATGTGGCGGCCACTCATCTGTGCAAGAGCAAAAAGCACTCACAGAGCCGGATCCGGCAGACCATGTGGACACTGGCAAATAATCAGTGACAGGGAGACTGGCGACAACTGCAACTCACCGAGAACTCCCCTCGGGCTGCGTCTTGTTTGGGTGGTTTCTACTGGCTGATGCCTGCTGATGCTGGATGAACTGGCTGGCTGCAACTTGCTCATATTCTCAGTACTGGAAGTGTCTCCTGTCCGACTGCAGTGAGGCTTGCCCTGTGGCTTCCTCCAATGGTGGCCGCTGGACCCTGCAAGTCAAAACCAATTTTGGCTCAGTGGTTAAGGAGTGGGCTTGTTGCCCGAGCCAGAGATCAGAAGAATTACCTTTACTGGTAAATCAGCGCAAACCGCACGGAAGTAGGTTTTCGATGGTCTTCTGGTTAAGACTGGCGGGGCCTGCTTGCCTTGTTTCGCATGCTGGCTGGATTGTGCCAAATCCTAGGACAAGCTTAGTACTGGATGTTCCTCGCTTCGCAAGCTGGGCAGGATGGTGCTGACTTGTAGTACGAGCTTAATTCATTCATTATTTACTGAAACATAATCAGTTTCGTCCTTCATGCACCAGATAATTACTTGGTTAGTTTGAGTTTTATTTTTCACTTAGTTCTACTTAGTTCTACTTCATTTGTTAATTATCTGGATTTCAACATCTCTCATAATTTCCACAGACCGCTCGCACCAGCCGGGAAGGAAAGCTGACTTGAAAGGAAGTTCCGCAGGCAGGACTTCATTTGAGACGCTTGCACAGACAACCAGATCAATCAATTCAGTAATTAATTAATTAACTTTACCAGCCGAGATCCGTCTTCCATTCTCAGTCTCCTTTTCCAACGAAACATGCAGGGCGGGTTTGCCGGAAGACAGCCAGCCGAGATGCCTGACAGCCGCTGCAGGCCGACTCTCTTCGATTGTGCAGACACCAGACGGCTTGTTCAGTGATATTAATTTGATAGACACGAACGACTTTCCGTCAAAGTTTGTTTCCTGCCGAAAAGAAGCATGCAGGCCGTCTTTTCCTGGGCAGACAGCAAGCCGCCTGACAGACGGTGCAGGCCGAATCCATTGCTGTGTTCATTTCAGCAGGCAGCCTGTTCAGTCATGCAAGGAGTGCTTTCATTTGCCATTCGACCTGCAAAGCAAGCTGCTCCAATCCAGGCAGCGAGCCTGGAACAGTACGTAGCAGCACAGGACTTACTTTCAGAACACAGCTAGAAGAGAGGCACAAACACACACTGGGCAGCGAGCCTGGAACAGAAAGAACAACACAGGATTTACTTTCAGAACACAACTAATTAGGTGAGAAACACACACACACACACACACAGACAAGTGGGAGACAGACAAAGGTAGCCAGACAGACAGACAGACAGCCATGGCCTTGCAAGCCCTGGAGTACTTGTGCAAGTTCTCCGACAGCGACATCCAGACAGCTGGACGCCAGATAGACAGTGAGAAAGTCCGACGACTGTGTCACAGCTTGGTGGACTGCCTGGCCCAGCGAGTGACACAGACGGACTCAGGGCAGACAGCCGCTGCATCTGCCGCACCTGCAGACAGCCAAGCCAGCCAGGCCTCTCCGCGGAAAAGGAGTGTGAGCAACAAGAGGGGCAAGGTGGACCCTTACAAGACAGACAGCGGTGCCGCTAAAGGTAGTGGCCAGCAGGCAGGCCAGGCAGGAGGTGCCGCTGCTGGTGGTGGCCAGCAGGCAGGCCAGGCAGGAAGAGACAAGAGCAGGCCGCCGACAAAGAACAAGCTGCCGAAAGACACTCAGGCAGACCAGGTAGCGCCACCGCCAGCTCCGCCAGCTCCGCCACAGACGAGCCAGTGGTCTGGCCAGAGTCAGAGCAGCCAGTCAGATTGGGGCAGCCAGTCAGACTGGTGGTCGACCAAACCTTGGTGGGAGTGGGAGAAAGAAAGCCAGACAGACAGCCCACCAATCCCGTCGACTGGACTGGTTGTGGCGAAAGGCAGACAGATCGGAGGCAGGGGCAGGTACAGCCATGCGCAGAAGACGTACTTCTGCATTGTCCAATGCTTGAAATGCAAGGCCGAACCTTGCAACAAGAGGATGGAGGCAGAGGTGGACGGCCACTGGCCGCACTTCTGCCGTGCCTGCAAGCCCCACGGGGCGCCTGACCCTAAGTGGTAGGGCAGGCAGGCAGGCAGGCAGTGGCCGTCGCCCTCTGCCTCCATCCTCTTGTCAGCCAGACAGCAAGGCAGTGGCCGGACAGCTAGACAGACAAGGCAGTGGCCGGACAGCTAGACAGCCAGACAGAGACACACCCTTGAAAAAAAAAAAAAAAATCGCCTTCAGAGTGGGAATCGCTGACTCATCAATCAAGCAGATAGAAGCAGATAGTGATTGTGCCTGTTGGCCAGGCGCCCGCGACCGGCCGCCAGACAGCCGTGTCAGCCCGCGACCTGCCGCCAGACAGCCGTGTCAGCAGTGTACGGGCCCACAAAGAAGCTGTGGCTAGCAGAGTAATTAATTATTCGGTGGAAACCGTTCCGAACAAAACCTGCCTTAGCCTAAACGGCCCTAAACTCTGTGGGCTCTTCTATTCATGGATGTGCAGCCCAACCTAAACCTTTTGTGGTCAGAGAGAGGGGATTTGCAGTTTGCAGCGAGTCCGTGCCCCGTTTTTCAGAGAGGCAGGCAGTGCTGATTGCTCGCATTGCTCACGTTGTGGAAGCTCGCAGCCAGCAAGCAGCACACGTTGTGGAAGCTCGCAGCCAGCAAGCAGCAGACCGGAAAGCCCCTGTGAAGAAGACAGCCAGACCAGCAGGCCGGGCGACTCAAGAAAGCCCTTAAAATTCTTTCACAAAGATGAATGCTGGCAGGCAGTCAGCATGGCCAGCCAGGAAGCAGCAGCAGCCACAGCCAGACAGGCTGATTCGAAACCTTCCTCCTCAACCTAAATCCTAAACCATAATGAAGAAATTAATTAATTACAAGGGTTTGGGGTTGTAATTAAAAGGGTTGCTTGAGAGGTTGGAAGGTGATTTCGGGCTCCGAGGCAGCCAGGCAGTGAGTGTGCAAGGCTTCAGGGAGTTCAGGGTTTCTTCGGAGGTTGGAAGGTGGGGTGGGGCTCAGAGGCAGCGAGGCAGTGAGTGCGCGAGGTTTCAGGGAGTTCAGGGCTTCTTCGGAGGTTGGAAGGTGGGGTGGGGCTCAGAGGCAGCGAGGCAGTGAGTGTGCAAGGTTTCAGGGAGTTCAGGGCTGGGAAGTTGGGAGTAAGTACTTAGTAATTAACTAATCAGTACTAGTAGTAGTAATAGTAGTAGTAATTAGTAGTAGTACTAGCAGTAGTCATTGGTAGTCGTCGTCG